CGGTTCTCGAACCACTCTGTTCCCAAACGTTTCAGCTTTCAAACGTCAAAAACCCGGAAGTAACTGTTCAGGTTTTCGGACGTTCCTTGGAACCTGAACGTCCAGCGCAGCTTCTGATCTGCAAAAAGCCTAGCTGTCAGCCAATCGGAAGCCGCGCCTCGGGATTCGAATGTTTCGGAAGTCGGACGTCCTTCCAGAACTGATTATGTTCCACTTCCTCCAGGCAATTCTGTATACTTCATAAATTGGAAGAGAGAGGTGGTTCTCTCTTCTCTTATTCCAGACCACCAAAGTCCTAAAAATAGGCTTCCACCAGGATCCACATCATGTGACGAAGGTAACAAAGTGGGTGGCTGTGGACAGAACCGAGAACCACGAAGTGTGACCAGGGAATGACACCCAAATTTGTCAGAATTATCTCTGGTAAATGAGCCAAAGGGAAATTCATGAGCGACGTCAGCCGCAGCTCCCGGCTATGATTCGACTCTGCTACCATCATGATGTCCAAAGGCCTGTCTGGCAGGAGATGGAATCAATACCAGGAAGACGACTGGAGTCACTGCAACCATCTCACGTTACAATAGTAAAAGAGTAAATTTCCTGTGTGGAAATCCACTTGCGTGTGCGCGCATCTGGTGAAAGGGAATGTTCTGGTGGGCTGGCCGAGCAAGACTTAAAGGGAAAGGTAAAGGGGCCCCTGACCATTAGGTCCAGTCATGGACGACTCTGGGGTTGTGCCGCTCATCTCGCTTTACTGGCCGAGGGAGCCGGTGTACAGCTTCCGGGTCATGTGGCCAGCATGACTAACCTGCTTCTGGCGAACCAGAACAGCGCACAGAAATGCCGTTTACCTTCCCACCAGAGTGGTACCTATTTATCTACTTGCACTGGTGTGCTTTCGAACTGCTAGGTTGGCAGGAGCAGGGACCGAGCAAAGGGAGCTCACCCCGTCACGGGGATTCGAACCACCAACCTTCTGATCAGCAAGTCCTAGGCTCTGTGGTTTAACCCACAGTGCCACCCGCGTCCCTGAGCAAGACTTAGCTGCAGGCAAAAGAAAGGAAGGGCATTCGATCCAGAGGGAAGCAACGTAACATGGGGTAGCAGGGGGCAGAGAGCGAAGTGGCACGCACAATTCCTCTGCCAACCTCTGCATCATGGGCAGAACAAGGTGGAGGCGGTCCGCCCCGGGTGTCATTTCTGAGGGGGGTGACATTTGACGTGCCGCCCACCTGCAACTCCCACCTATCCCCGTCGTTTTGATAGCCCCGCGCTCCCGGGCTGCTGGAGGAGACATGCAGGCATAGTAATAATAATAATAATAATAATTTATTATTTATACCCCACCCATCTGGCTGGGTTTCCACAGCCAATCTGGGCAGCTTCTAACAAAACACAAAAATACAATAACCTATTAAACATTAAGTGAAGCTGAGGCTTCAATACTTTGGCCACCTCATGAGAAGAGAAGACTCCCTGGAAAAGACCCTGATGTTGGGAAAGATGGAGGGCACAAGAAGAAGGGGACGAAAGAGGACGAGATTGTTGGATAGTGTCTTCGAAGCTACCAGCATGAGTTAGACCAAACTGCGGGAGGCAGCGGAAGACAGGAGTGCCTGGCATGCTCTGGTCCAGGGGGTCACGAAGAGTCAAACACGACTAAACGACTAAACAACAATTAAACATTAAAAGCTTCCCTAAACAGGGCTGCCTTCAGATGTCTTCTAAAAGTTTGGTAGTTGTTGTTCTCTTTGACATCTGGTGGGAGGGCGTTCCACAGGGCGGGTGCCACCACCGAGAATGCCCTCTGCCTGGTTCCCTGTAACTTGGCTTCTCTCAGCGAGGGAACCGCCAGAAGGCCCTCGGCGCTGGACCTCAGTCCCATCAGCCCCATGCAGCGCAGAATGAGTCCAAAAACATCTGGAAGACACATCAGGCCAAGGAATGCTGCAATAATGTTCCTTGTCCTTCTACTTTCTCATAGAGGCTGCTCTGCTTTTAACCGGTATGCCATCACAATGCTGCAATTCTATTATTTTTAGTCCCCTTTGCAGGTTTCATACGCTTACGTTGGCCGCTTTGGGCGATTATAAAAAGAAAAGGCAGGTAACTGAGAATTGAGAACGGTAAACAGGGATATTTTTAGCCACTGACTTGTCCAGCCACTGACAGACCAGCCCTTTGTGCTATCTGAGTATTTTATTGCAATACAAATTATGCCACCGATTTCTTTTTTTTTTTAATTAAATTCTTTATTGATTAAAAATTTACATATCTATACAAACATTATATGCTATCTCTCTACATATAGAAAAAGAAAATTATGTAGAGAATAGAAAATTTCTAAAGGAACAAAAAAGAGGAAAAGAAAAAAATAAATAACAAAGATACAAAGTAAAAAAAATCAAAAGAGGAAAAGACAAGACAACATTTACACAATAAAAGTGTTCATCGACACAATCCTTCCCATCCTTCTCATTATACTGTAATATAAACATTCTTTTTTAACACAGATTTGTATTGTATAATATCATTTCTTTCTTTGTATATATTCCCTCCAATCGTTTTCTTTACAAATACCACTCAATTTCTGCTAATATGGAATTATTTGTACAATAAAGTTTTACATAGTTCTTGAATATTATCCATTCTCTAGTTGCTTTTCGTTTCGATGTTCCTCTAACTGATCCCGTCAGTTTTGCTAATCGTAGATATTCTAACATGAGTATCTGCCAGTCAGTAATCTCTGGAAGTGTGCCATTCTATGATGAGTTTAAGAAACTATTTAAAATCACCTTCAGGGAAAAAAACACCAGAGATCTTCCTGCTTCCTAATTTCTACCACCAGAAATTAAAAAAGAAGAACATTGTTCTTGTAACCACCGCTTTCATTGTAGATTTTTGAATAGAGGTTAGGTGGCCATCTGTCAGGGATCCTATAGCAGAGATTCCTGCATTGCAGGAGGTCACCCTAGTAGTAGACTGACAGTGCAACTCCCATTAAAAAAGGTGTTATACCCTGCCACTGTACACACCCCAGTGGGTTGGTCTAGATGACCCTCAGGGTCCCTTCCAACATCCCACCACCGGAAAATGTTCACTCTTTACTCTAAGCCTTCACCATAAACTGCCCACATACATCCAAGCTGTTTTCTGCCACAATAAGGGCTAGAATCTTGCTTTTTTGTGAGTGCCTGGAGGCAGTTGGAGGATGGATGGCAGCCAATGGATTGAGGTTGAATCCTGACAAGAGAGAAGTACTGTTCTTGGGGGACTGGGGGCGGGCGGGTGTGAGGGACTCCCTGGTCCTGAATGGGGCAACTGTCTGAAGGACCATGTGCACAGCCTGGGAGTAATTCTGGACCCACAGCTGTCCATGGAGGCGCAGGTCAATTCTGTGTCCAGGGCAGCTGTCTACCAGCTCCATCTGGTATGCAGGATGAGACCCTCCCTGCCCACAGACTGTCTCACCAGAATAGTGCATGCTCTGGTTATCTCCCGCTTGGACTACTGCAATGGGCTCTATGTGGGGCTACCTTTGAAGGTGACCTAGAAACTACAACTAATCCAGAATGCGGCAGCTAGACTGGTGACTGGGAGCGGCCGCCGAGACCACATAACCCCGGTGTTGAAAGACCTACACTGGCTCCCAGTATGTTTCCAAGCACAATTCAAAGTATTGGTGCTGACCTTTAAAGCCCTAAACGGCCTCGGCCCAGTATACCTGAAGGAGTGTCTCCACCCCCATCATTCTGCCCGGACACTGAGGTCCAGCGCCGAGGGCCTTCAGGCGGTTCCCTCATTGCGAGAAGCAAAGCTACAGGGAACCAGGCAGAGGGCCTTCCCGGTGGTGGCACTTGCCCTGTGGAACGTCCTCCCATCAGATGTCGAAGAGATAAACAACTACCTGACGTTCAGAAGACATCTGAAGGCAGCCCTGTTCAGGGGAAGTTTTTAATGCGTGACATTTTAGTGTATTTTGGTCTTTGTTGGAAGCTGCCCAGAGCGGCTGGGGAAACCCAGCCAGATGGGCGGGGTACAAATAAATTATTATTATTATTATTATTATTAGTTGTTGTTGTTCTTCCAAAAATGAGATTTATAGGATGCTATGTTATCATGCAATGAACAGAGCCGGCAAATGAAGAGGAAGAACTACATCTGAGAGAGAGAAAACAGATTTAACTCAGAACCTAGAATTTCACATTAGCAAGTGCAGTGGGTATATATATATATATATATATATATATATGTATATATATATATATATATATATATATATATATATATATATAAAATAAAAAGCTCAGGCACAGGATAAAAATAAAAGTGTGCATTTCACAGTTACACGGTGAGATTTTCAGTCGGCCAACTAGTAGAGGAACGATTTCCCACTCCTGGAGACCGGATGGCTGTGTAACAGAGGAGGAACGAGACCTAATGTTTTATGTGCTAATCTTAAACTTAAATTGCATCTATTTGCGAACACTCTCAGTGTTTAATCAAAAAAGCTTCTCGCACCAGAAACGGCGGCGGGGGTAGGGGAGAGAACAGCCACCCATGTCTCGCTCGCAGGAAGACTATTTTGGGACGGTATTAAATTAGGAAGCCGTGCTCTAAACAAAGGAAGATGGTTGAGGAGGAAGATCAGATGCGACGAGGGCCTTCCGTTCGTTCGATCCAACCAGCAGTGCGATGAAACAGCTACCTCTCAGCCGGAAGCATTGTCCCAGGATATTGATACTGCCCCACTTCCCTAACAGTAGGGCCGGTTTGTTACTTAGAAACTATGGTTTAGGACAAACTTTGAAGAAGTTGATTTGGTTAACTATGTAAAGCCAGGGTTTCGCAAACTTTGAATATAATTTTTATTAGATTTTCTGTTTCACATTTTAAAATACACACTTTGCATCCTTAAGATATCCATGACTTCCCTATAATGACCCTGCGACGGAGGTGAAGAGACCGCGACTGATTCCAAGGTCACCCAGCAAGATTCATGGCTGAGTGGGGATTTGAACCCTGATCTCCCGGGTACTAGTCTCTGACATCCTAACCACTGCACCACCCTGCCTTCCTACAGTACTTCTGCTATGGGACAGCTATGTAAAGTACAGTGGTACCTCAGGTTAAGAATAGTGCTTCAGGTTAAGAACTTTGCTTCAGGATGAGAACAGAAATCGTGCTCCGGTGGCTCAGCAGCAGCAGGAGACCCCATCCGCTAAACTGGTGCTTCCGGTTAAGAACAGTTTCAGGTTAAGAACGGACCTCTGGAACGAATTAAGTACTTAACCCGAGGTACCACTGTAGATAAATAAGCATGGGGAAAGCAAAATGTAACTTAGGGGAGGATTTGAAATATTTTCCTCGAAGCTTGAATTTGTTGTATTCTGGATTGTTTCATTTGATGCTTTAATGTGTTGTAAACCACTTTGAGATGTGATAATTAATAATCATCATCATCATCTGTCCTTACCAAAAACAAAAAACTGGCACCTAGACATTATGTTGTAGCGACCATAATCTAGGTTTAAGGTAAGGTAAAGGTAAAGGGACCCCTGACCATTAGGTAAAGTTGTGGCCAACTCTGGGGTTGCGGCGCTCATCTCGCTTTATTGGCCGAGGGAGCTGGCGTACAGCTTCCGGGTCATGTGGCCAGCATGACTAAGCCGCTTCTGGCGAACCAGAGCAGCGCACGGAAACGCCATTTACCTTCCCGCCGGAGTGGTACCTATTTATCTACTTGGACTTTGATTTGCTTTCAAACTGCTAGGTGGGCAGGAGCAGGGACCGAGCAACGGGAGCTCACCCCGTCGCGGGGATTCGAACCGCCGACCTTCTGATTGGCAAGTCCTAGGCTCAGTGGTTTAACCCACAGCGCCACCCACGTCCCATTTGGTACTTTAATGTGTTGTAAACCACTTTGAGATGCAATAAATCATAATAATAATAATAATCTGTCCTTAGCAAAAACATAAAAAACTGGCACCTAGACCTTATGTTGTAGTGACCGTAATCTAGGGTTATGGTACCACTTGGCTTATATATCTGAGTTTCTAACACTGCATCCTTAGGAGATAAATAGAAACAGTGGTGGCATAATATATTTTTAAAAACCAGGATTCCTTGCCTGTTGCGCTTTCCAAGTGAGCTTCTTGAGTCCTCCCCTACTTTATCAACCCGCTGCTGTTCAAAAAGTTGCATTGGGAGACTTTCAATTAGGCTGCTAAGCTGCTGAGGTCTTGAGCCCCCATCATCTGCTACTGATCTGGTGGGCCAAGGGACCCCTGGCTTTCAGCCCATCAAGGCTGCCCACAGGCAACAGCAGACCTTGCTACGATTCTGCTTTCTACACAACCCTTTGCCCTTGGCAGCCACCCAGGAATCTTATGTAGAAATATTTGCTGGCAAAAAAGAAAAGCAAGTATACTGTTTTTTCCAAGCTCCAACTCCCATCTTTTCTCCCCAAATCTCTTATACTGCTTTATATACTCCCTCTTGCTGTTCTGGATTCTGGTATAGCTGCGCAGCCTGCATTCGCTCCATAAGACGCACACACATTTCCCCTTACTTTTTAGGAGGGGAAAAGTGAGTCTTATAGAGCAAAAAATACGGTAAATTTCTCCTGTTCATTTTGGAGGGGAGTTTTACTTTGGTCTGCTGCAACCGTGGTGCCGCTAGACAGTCCTTTATTGTTGCCTCCCCCCAATGCAAATAATAGTCTCCCCCCACTTTCTGGGCATTTTCCTGGTCCTCGTTTCAAGCACTTCATCTCAGATAAGTCTTTCAAACAGGAGGAAGCGCGGCTCCAAAAAATTATTGAGGGAGAACTGACCCGTTGTATGAACTTGTTCTCTCCTCCTCGAAAGGCAGGCTTGCCAACTTCCAACACGCAAACGCCTGAGCCGGCCAAGGAGATTCCCCAATTAATAGAAAGTTTCCTGCCGGCTGCTACAGAACTCTGTCCCAGCATGATCTGGCAGTGATGGGAGGAGGAAGAAAAGCCGCCTGCGATTCCAGGCAGGGGTGAGAGAGAGAGACAGACAGACAGACCAAACACACTTGCTTATTTTGGCCATAGCTCAGCAGCAGAACATCTGCTTGGCATGTAGAAGGTCCTAGCTTCAAGCCCCAGCAGCATCTCCTGGCAGGACTTCTTTCGGAAATGACGGGGGGGGGCACATCTTTAAAGTTGTTTCAGTGTTACAAATAATATCCCTGACTGCATCCTTTCGACTTGACAGCTCAGGGAAGATACAGTCATACCTCGGGTTAAAGACGCTTCAGGTTGAGCATTTTCAGGTTGCGTCCCGCGACAACCCGGAAGTAACGGAACGGGTTACTTCCGGGTTTCGCCGCTCACACAGACACTCAAAATGACGTCATGCACATGCGCAGGAGTGGCTAATCGCGACCTGCAGGCGCAGGTTGCGTACGGGGCTCCAGAACGGATCCCGTTCGCACCCAGAGTTACCACTGTACAGTTATACCTCAGGTTACAGACTCTTAGGGTTGTGCGATTTCGGGTTGTGCACCGCACCGAACCCGGAAGTACTGGAACGTGTTACTTCTGGGCTTCGGAGCATGCGCAGAAGTGCTAAATCACGCTTTGCGCATGCGCTGATGCGCAAATCGCAACCCGCGCATGCGCAGGTGCGGCGTTGCAGGCGCTGCGGGTTGGGAACGTGCTTCCTGCATGGATCATGTTCGCAACCCGAGGGTCCACTGCACCTAGCTTTAGAAATTCATAGAAAATCCATACTTTAGCCAACGCTCCATTTTAACCCTTAAAGAAAGGTGACTTTGGGCTCCACCTTCCTCCATGAACCAAGAAGCAGGAAGTCCCGTTGGCGGCAGGAACAGGGCAGCCCGCCATCATCCCCCAAGCGTGAGAGCACATACAGGGCCCCCCACCCAGGGAGTGACCAGGGCGGCAACACTAGACATCCGCAGAGGCAGTTGAGCAAGTCAGGTGTTCTGAAAGCCCATCTCCAGGCAAGTCCTGAGGGCAAGGAGATGTCAAGAGTTTTATTGTTCTTTGGGTGATGGGGACTTAAGAGGTGTTTGGAAAGGTGTCTGATAAAGGGGCCTAATGTTGAACTTGTGTAACCCTTGTATACCCCTCCCCATTTGTGACATGCCAGTGATGCAGTGATGATGTCTCAGTGATGGTGCTCACAGTGTATTCTGGGGGAAAGAGGGAAGTTTTAAAAGTCGGTGTCACCCCATGCTCGAGGTTCTTACTCCTGTGGGCAGGGGCGTCTTCCCTGGGGAGAACATTCCACAGACGGGGAGCCACCACAGAGAAGGCCCGTTCTCATGTTGCCACCCTCCAGACCTCTCAAGGAGGTGGCACATGAAGGAGGGCCTCAGGAAATGATCTCAGGGTCCAGGTAGGTTCATACCTTGAGCTGTTGCGGTCCTGAGCCACATCGAGCAACATTAACCATGCGATCTGAAGGACCTCGTAAGAACCTGCCCAAGCTCTGGGATCTTCAGGGGAGACCCTACTCTCCATCCAGCCTGGTGGGGACACAGAAGAGGGCCTTCTCGGTGGCTGCTCCCAGACAACTTTGGAACTCCCTTCCTAAAGAAGATAGGAGGGGTCCCTCCTTGTTGTGCTTTCAACAGCAGGTGAAAACTTTATTGCTCCAACAGGCCTTTGGGAACAGTATTTTTTTAAAAAAGGGAAAGGCTTTTGAAAGCTATGGTTTACCCAGTAGTAATGTATGGAAGTGAGAGCTGGACCATAAAGAAGGCTGATCGCTGAAGAATTGATGCTTTTGAATTATGGTGCTGGAGGAGACTCTTGAGAGTCCCATGGACTGCAAGAAGATCAAACCTCTCCATTCTGAAGGAAATCAGCCCTGAGTGCTCGCTGGAAGAACAGGTCCTGAAGCTGAGGCTCCAATCCTTTGGCCACCTCATGAGAAGAGAAGACTCACTGGAAAAGATCCTGATGTTGGGAAAGATGGAGGGCGCAAGGAGAAGGGGACGACAGAGGATGAGATGGTGGGACAGTGTTCTCAAAGCTACCAACATGAGTTTGACCAAACTGCGGGAGGCAGTGGAAGACAGGAGGGCCTGGCATGCTCTGGTCCATGGGGTCACGAAGAGTCGGACACGACTAAATGACTAAACAACAGCAGCTGCTTTTCGTATATGTATTTTAATAGATTATTTTTTAAATTTGTTTAGTTGCTTTCTTAATGATTTGTATACGTTTTTAGCTTTCTGTGTGTGTGTGTGTGTGTGTGTGTGTGTGTGTGTGTGTATATATATATATATATATATATATATATATATATATATATATATGGATGTATGGTTTGTATTAATTGTTGACAGGTGCCTTGAAGCAAACCAGGGCCAATAGGGCAGGGTGTACATTTCAACTATAAACAAATAAGTTCATGCAGTTGCAACACGGAATCTGCACAGGACGCAAACCTCGTCATCATTACAGACAGGGCAGGGGACTTTTGCTCCGCAAGAAGCTCAACAGCCAAGCAAAACACAACTGGCAGCTCATGTTCAGCAGGAAAATGGGAAATGCTGGAATCCGTGATTGGCGTTCGTGGCCGCTGTTGGGTTTTATCATATTGGGAGGGGAAACTTGCAATATTGATTGTCACTCCACAGAAGTTGAGCGTGCAAAATATCGTGAGCAGATATATTCAGCCCAGGGCGACGAACAGGCCAACGATAAAGGAATTAAAACATTTTCAGCACGGTTCCAGTGTGGATGCACACCAGGAAAGATCTCAGCTTAGAAGAATAGTTGGAAAAGAAAGGTGAAAAGACAGCTGAGATGGAGCCTGCCTAATACAGTGGTACCTCGGGTTAAGTACCTAATTCGTTCCGGAGGTCTGTTCTTAACCTGAAACTGTTCTTAACCTAAAGCACCACTTTAGTTAATGGGGCCTCCTGCTGCTCCCGCGCCACTGGAGTACGATTTCTGTTCTCATCCTGAAGCAAAGTTCTTAACTATTTCTGGGTTAGCGGAGTCTGTAACCTGAAGCGTATGTAACCTGAAGCATATGTAACCTGAGGTACCACTGTATCCACGGAGAGGGAATTCCAAACACTCGAGGCTTGGCTCCTACGTTGGGTGCAATGGACTCCGGGTAAGATGGCATCGCAGGAGGGTCTCGGCTGCACAGCACAGTGATCGATTAGGTGCATAAGGGGTGAGGCGACCTTTTAGGAACACGCACATACCGTCTGCCTTGCATGACAGGAATGAATCATAGCTGCCAATAATTCATCAAAGTTGGGAAGGGAGCAGGGTATTGCATCGCCCCGTATGCAAAGCAAACAAACAATAAATAATAATAATAAGAGAGCTTTTGGGAAAAGGTGTTCAGTGGGCTACAAAAGCTCTTTTAAATAAAATGCCCCTATGCCCCAAAGTGGGACGCGGGTGGCGCTGTGGGTTAAACCACAGAGCCTAGGACTTGCCAATCAGAAGGTCGGCGGTTCGAATCCCCATTACCGGGTGAGCTCCCGTTGCTCGGTCCCTGCTCCTGCCCACCTAGCAGTTCAAAAGCATGTCAAAGTGCAAGTAGATAAATAGGTACTGCTCTGGCGGGAAGGTAAACGGCATTTCCGTGTGCTGCTCTGGTTCGCCAGAAGCGACGTAGTCATGCTGGCCACATGACCCGGAAGCTGTACATCGGCTCCCTTGGCCAGTAAAGCGAGATGAGCGCCCCTGTCTTGGAGCCGATAGCTGCGCCGCGAAATCTGGAGTGGAAATCAAAATCCGAAGGGTGAGCTGTGTTCCAAAACGGCTCACCAGCCCAGAAGGTGCGGCTCACACTGGGATTTGCAAGGAACAGGTAGCTCGGGCATCCCTGCTAAGGACTCCCAACTTCCTAACCGTTCCCAGCACCGCCCGCAGGCCCCCAAAACACTGATGCATTGCTAGCGACATTCTGGACGGCTTTATTTCTGCCCTCGTGGGAGAAATAAAGACCAGCTTCCCTATCCTTAGGAAGGAAACGGCAGCACACGCAAGCCCACCACCTGATAAGCACTGCAGAAATGAGCTGTTCGTATCATGGGACCAGCCTTCTACAGTGATGGGGAGCCCGTGAGCCAGCAGTTTCTCTCCCTCCTCTCTCCAGCTGAGTCTCCTCTTTCACAACTTGAACGCTGCATCACCAACATACAGACAGAGCATCCCACAGAACCCACCTTGGGATCCTTTGCAGAATTCTTTCCTGAGCATCATAAACAAACAAACAAACAAACCAACTTTTATTTATATCCCGCCTTCCCCGGGCTCAGGGCGGCTAACATCAGATATATAACACTGGTATAAAATCAAACAATAATTACCTCTTAAAAACAGGTCAAAATCTAATTAAAATCTAATCAGATGGCTTTCCGTAGGGTATGGGTTGGGAACAGTGAGTGCTCGTCGGCCCAACTGTATACAGTGGTACCTCGGGTTACATACGCTTCAGGTTACATACGCTTCAGGTTACACACTCCGCTAACCCAGAAATAGTACCTCGGGTTAAGAACTTTGCTTCAGGATGAGAACAGAAATTGCGTGGCAGCAGCAGGAGGCCTCATTATCTAAAGTGGTGCTTCAGGTTAAGAACAGTTTCAGGTTAAGAACAGACCTCCAGAATGAATTAAGTTCTTAACCCGAGGTACCACTGTACGCTGATCTTATATGGGCCTGTGAGAATGCTGGGAGGCCTCTTTCATATTAGTTCTTATACAAAAATAAAAGGGGAGTCCGGCTGAGCCCTGACCAAAGGCCTGGCAGAACAACTCCATCTTGCAGGCCCTGCGGAAAGATGTCAAATCCCACAGGGCCCTGATCTCTTGGGGTAGAACGTTCCACCAGGCCGGGGTCAAGGCCGAAAAGGCCCTGGCCGATGCAAGCCTAGAGGCCAGGGATCTCCAAAGTGTTATTATTTGCAGACCGTAAGGTCCTCCGCGAGGCATACCAGGAGAGGTGGTCTCGTAGGTATGAGGGTCCTAGGCCATATAGGGCTTTAAAGGTTAAAACCAGCACCTTAAGCCTGATCCTGTACTCCACTGGGAGCCAGTGTAACTGGTATAAGGTAAAGGTACCCCTGCCCGTACGGGCCAGTCTTGACAGACTCTAGGGTTGTGCGCTCATCTCA